CCCCCCCCTTCTTTGAAAGAAGAGATGTTAAAAAAAGAGGTAGTTGAGTTACCTTAAAACTCCGGTCACATCATTAAGTAATACCTCACCACTGTTAATTAGTTGTGGTATAAAGATGTGGATCACTGGACAGAAAACTGGAAGGGCTGGACAGACACTTGTATCATATATTGCGGGACGCGATTCTTTTGCATGATTTTTTTTAATCTGAAACATGAGTATCATAGCATTAGAGATAATTTGACTTTCAATAGTGTCAGAATACATCAAGGGTTTAAAATAAAACAATAATTTCTTATTATGTAAAGTTAACCAATCATAGTAGTTCATTTTTTATTTCCAACTCCTATTGTCAGTTGTTCTTATTATACTAGTCGTTGGTAAAATAATAGGGATATATGTATACATTAAATAGTGCTTCCATTCGGATACTGGTATCAGACACAACTCGGAAACTGTAAAAGTTGGTGCTTCCATTCGGATACTGGTATCAGACACAACTAAGTGTCCGACACAACTGAAATGAAAAAAAAGAAATGTACAAAGAAGTTTTGTTTTTTATATATTATATTGCAAAAATCGATCGGTCCATGTGATACACACAAAGGACATATCAGACAATACCAGATATACAAATATATTTGCTACGCTACTATGGCAATATTTACAATTGATTTGCTATATCAGTATATTTACACAAATCTTACCTTTTGAAGAGGACGTCAAATCATGAAAGTCGGGGGGAGTGTAGCAAAGTTAACAGTGATGATAGAAATAGTACATTCCAATGTTCTGCAGTAACGTTGTAAACAACAGCTTTCTATGTCTATATTTGTCTTAGTATTCACCGAATATCACATGAAAAAATAGTTACTATAAGTTGCTATGATTATTAGCTTCCATTGTGAAGCGTACGTAACATCTGTAAAGGTATTAGTCATTTTTATGAATTGAAAATCAACGCGAGTTAAACGAGCACCCTGTTGCAGCCGCCATCTTTGTTGATAAAACAGCATCAGCACTCGCATTTCAAATCGGTAACTGTAACACCATTCGTGGCAAATAAAAGAAAATCTAGAAAGTTTGGAGGCTTCTGTTTAAGCATAGTCATATTTTGAGTACTCACGATCTATTTAATCTACAATATGTGATATCCGCCGAGTCTGGTCGGACAGACCCTCGCTACAACTTCTCGTTCAATGCATTGTGCTGAGCTGCCGTCTGCTATTAGCGATATTCGTAACGAGATTTATGATCATTTTAGGAATATAGACAGTCATGAGAGCCAATAAGAAGGATATATGTATTTTGCAGTGTGTACTACGTTAACAAACAACATAGTTCCTCGAATCTCTAAAGTAAAGTCGATATTTCTTTACATGGAAATTGGAGGCATATGGAGGCGCGAAGTCTATAAAAGGCCACCATCTTCCTCATTTCGTTAGCTTGAACCGCTGGTATCGGCAGGCATTATGACGCCGGAGATCTCATAGGTCCTCAAGGCATAATAAGCAAATTGTTAAGTTAGGAAAATAATTAAGCATCATTTTCCATAAATATTCGGATTATTTTTCATAGATTATAGAGATAGTTAATAGTCATAATAGTTTAGCTAATACTCTGAGACTAGAGGGACTATTGACTCATATCATTCCCTATAAAGGTGGGGTCAACATTTGGCCCCCACTTTGATTTCTTTTATTCTTTTGCCATATGTAGATAAATGATTATTCATAATTACTACTGAAAACCGTAGTGGACCTCCTTGCATAACACCAGGTTGATAGATAAATGTCACAGGCGAATGCTATTTTGCGAATGAATTATCATAGTGTACAGTGTATAAAATTACTGTTATTTTGATACTAAATATGCCATATTGGTATATATGAAGTAAGCGTAGTGATACTTTTATTTAGAAAAACATGCACCATTTTCACAAAATTTAAAATATAATCAACATTGTGAACTTGCCTATATATAGTTACAGTGGTAGTCTATATTTTAAACTTATTTAAAAACTTTCCATAATTGTATTTTGTCTACTGAATCATTTTTATGCAATATAAAAAACCGGTAAAGTACTTTATTAGCATGCCAAACATGATCAATGCCCAGTTTTACATAATCTTGAAGATTTGATTATCAATGTTTATTATGGTAAAAGACGATACATTTTCTGTTTTTGTATCATACCAAAACACTTTATTATATTACGCATGTTTTAAAGTTATGTGAACCGTACTATGGCTAACACTTACAAGACCAGTTACTGTCCATCCAAGACGTTGCCCGGCAACACCTGTCAAAATCTAGTAACACACAAAAGAGGTACTTTGACCATAAAGTAGTGGAGAACGCGTACATTGTAGGTGATGTGGAATGGCTTTATTCCCCCAAATGTAGACCCCACACTATCTCCAAACTGGCTTTTCCTTGGGTAGGTCCCTATGTAGTGACGGGAAAATTGAATGATGTAGTGTACAGAACTAACCCAAGTCCAAACCAAAAGTGGTACACCATGACCGGCTGAAACCTTATCAGGGAAGTCACGGACCTTCATGGCACAAACCAGCTTCTGAAAAATAAAGCAGATGGAATGTTAATGGAATGGATGACAACAATGGTACAAGACACCTTTTTATTGTATTACAGGAATACTCATGCAAGATATGTAGTGAAACCTTCCTGAAATCATACAAGGCTGTGCGACATGCCCAGGAAACACACTCTGGATACACCTTCCAGTGCCAGGGATGTAAGAAGAGTTTCCCGCATCGGGATTACCAATGCCTAGGACAAGGGCGAGTTATCTTGGAGCTTGTCAGTCCTTTGGGTGGTGTACGAGGAGAAGAGACCAACGGGTTGTTAAGGTTACCAAGAAACGGAAGGCTTACACCAGTAAGGCAATCATCAGCTCCTCATCTTCGTCTTCCTCCTCCTCATCCAGCAGCGACGAGGAGACTCCTCAAGTCTCTCCCCCCAAGATCCTTAAGAAAACGAGTGTTGCAACTATTAGAAAAACTAAACTTACCAAAGTAGTGAAGGCACCAGTAAAGAAGAAATCCACTACAACCGAGGTACCCACAGTGATACCATCCACTACTAGCCAAGTGCCCAGACCTTCTACTGTGCCAAAACCATCCATACATACTGACGTAACATCACAACAGGCCCTTCAAAGGATTCAGGAGGAGAGAGTATTAAACGTTGGAGGCAGACTATTTGAAACCTTCAAGGACACCCTGATGAAGGACCCTAAAGGTCTCTTCCAGGAGGTATTCGTGCTAGGTAGTGAATTTTCCGCCTACCAGACAAACCCAGACACGTATTTTTCCCATTTCAGGATATTATTAAACTACCTAAGAAACTCTTTGCAATCTGATCTAAGGACACTACCATGTGAGCGACGGTATTTGTACGAACTTTTTTATGAGGCCGAGTTCTTTAAGCTTGAAGGATTACAGGCCACCTTGTTAGAAAAGATCCACCAGGTAACCGTCATTGGACCCGGCCTTGGGATCCATAACCGGAGATATTTATAAACTCAATTACTACAGTGGTACTTATTTCGCGTGTGAAAAGAACGCGGGACGCGCCCCATTCACAATGGACACTTGAACATTTTCGGTATTGGACCAAAAGACTTTGTGAACTTTCAGTGACACTATGGTTGTATAATTCCACATATGCATGTTAAAATTGATTACAAAATATATTTTGAGTAAGTATGTTAACTTAGGAGAAAAGTGTTATGCTATTGATGAGTTAATTTACCAGCTAGATTATGAGTTCGAACGGTAACCTTGTTTACAAATATTTTATGCTTATCCTATCAACCAATTTGGAGACCAAATCCGACTAAGTAGGGGGCATAGTAACGACTTTACTTTTGCCTACCTGCTATAGTCTGTGTATTGATAAATAACTTCGTTATTTGTCTACTACATTTATTATCATAATCAAACTGTATAGTAAATGTCTTTTAGTTACAAGTTATCTAATTATGATACCATTTAATTTTGTCTCGATTGAAAACAGTTCGTGTTTACAAGTTTAGAATCATCGAGTCGGTGATGTGTTTACGTCAGTCGTGCGCTATATTTAGAATCATGCTCTCACATGGACTTGCATGTTTCTGTTGTCCCTGCAGGTAGGGCGTAAGAATTGTACCTGCTGCCCCCAATTGCATGATCGTAAGAGCCGCCTAAATTTGGGACCTTATCTCTTCTCTCCTTTCGAAATATCTTTATTCTTCCTAATGTCTCCCTTGACAATGCCTCAATTTTGGCCATTTGTTGAGCGTTCGCCCCTGTGAGGAAGGCTTTGGGTTCTGTCCCCCGGCCGAGACATACCAAAGTCTTTAACAATGGTAGTTTCTACTCCTGCTTAACGCTCGGCAAATTAGGAGTGGGACGACTGGTTCGCCCGTTGTCAGTGAGGTAGCACTATAAAATCGGCATCAGTTCCGCGCTATCACAAGGAGATAAACACGAACATATCGTAGCCTCCCAAAAAACACACACATACACTACACGCATGCATCTTGCACACAGGGGAGGCCGTCCTTAAATGACCTTAGCTGTTAATAGGACGTTAAACAAAATCAAACAAACAAACAAACAAAGCATGTTTCTGTTCCGTGCGGCTGAAATAATCACTAACCGACTCGTAGATACAACAGCCTAGTATGTTGATAACATTCTCTTTATAGGTTGATATGTTGTAACTCATGATTTGTTGTATTTTGGTTGTAATCCATGTTTATGCTATGCGAAGCCTGTCAAACAGACGACTCATCCGGCATTGCAGATGTGCGTTCGGAACTCTCGGACTTTATCGAGTTATTTAGTTAAAGTGTTTAGTGCCGATAGACCCGAGTATACTAAATTCTGATTGGTCAGAAGTTTTCGAGAAGGGTATAAAAGTTGGATCCCGCGGCAGATTCAACGGAGTTCGCCCATGATCTTCTAACCAAGCGGCCAGGCTTTCCTACCCTCCTACACATTCCAAGCAACCAAGCTTATTACCAGAGTCCAGCTAAACACCAGGACCATGGAGGTAACTACTGCCGTAGTGACTAAGTAGGCCTGCCGTCTCCCGTCTCCAATACTTTTGTTTGTTTGTTTGTTTGTTTATGTTTAACGGCCCATCGACGGCTGTGGTCATTTAGGGCCATGTTTTTTTTTTGTTTTTTTTAACAAACATGTGAGTAGCGAAGATAAAATCAGATAAAAAGGTTTATTTTAAAAGCATTCACATTGTATGTGTAGATCATTAAAATAAAAAGGGGTTAAAATAATAAAAGAGATAACGAATAGATGATGTGGACTATGTGATATACTTAACGTCAACAAGGGTAAGGTGGGCTAGAAAACGTCAGAGTCTGTAGAAAAGATCGACGTCTTTCAAATAGCTAAATAATGCCTTCGAGTCCACGGAACTGAAAAGAGTTTTCAATTCCGTGACTCGAAAGTAGTTATCGCGAATGTGTTTAAAATCGGAACCTTCTATTAAAACATGTTCCACTGTAAATGGAGTGTCAAATGCGTGGCATGAAGGTGGATCTTCTCGTTTTAAAAGGTACGAATGAGTGGGATATGTGTGCTCAGTACGAAGTCGCGCGAGGACAACTTCCTCTCCAATACAATACACATAGATACAAGTCTCCTTAATGACCTTATGTTATGATACGCCAATAATTACACCAAAAAGTCCGCCTAACCACGGGTGATACTTAGCTATTTTGGACAAGTATAGTTTACTTAGACATAAATTAATGTTCCTTTTTTTATGAAAGGTCTTAGATAAAACTTTTTCCAATATTAAGACCTACTTCGGTACATCCACGTCCGAAGTTGTTACAATATATTAAGGATACTTAGCCCTTACTATTCTATTAGCCCTTACTATTCTATAAGTATCATTAAGGATACTTACTCATCACTTTTATTTATAACGGCACTCCGTCGTTATTCTCAATTTCTATTATATATTAACTAAAGATGCCATTGTGTACAGTGTTTGTAGTTATGAAGTTGTGATTTGAATAAATATCAAAGTTGAATTGTATTTCTGTCTTGAGTTGTTGTTGAAGTAGAGTAGTTATCAGAACAACCAAAGGAGCTAGGAGCCAGGACCAGACGGATCCAAGATGGAGTAACCAGAATATACCTTTGATCAAATATATTACATTTACACAAGGAGAAGAAACACAATCCACAACGTTACAATACCTTGTATGGTAATGCGTGGATCCTTATATGAATCTTTTCAGAAGTATAGCATTTTCAATATTCAAATAGGTGTACAGTAAATCAAGAACAAATACTGGGTATGATAATGTAAATACATACAAAGTTAAAAACTTCTGATTATCTATAGACCTCAATTAATACATAAGTTGGCAACTTTTTTTTTTAGCTTACACAGTAGTTTTACACTGACTTTTAGGGTACTAATAGTGATAATTTTACAGATTGAGCTCCAGACCAGCTTAACAATCTATTGTAAATCCGATTTTTATTATTATTATTATATTTCAATCTAAATTTGTGTATTTTTTAAATTTGTCATAGGAATATTAAATAGAAATTCTCCTACACTGAAATACTGGTCCGGCCATGGAGGTACTAAAGGGATGCCCTGCTACCGATAGGATTCACAAAAGCAGAAGAGTGGCCCAAAAAGAAAGCTGTCTCGGTTTCAAGAGTTCATTCTTACTTTGATAAAGCTTCCTTTGCCATTGCTGATATTTTCGGAATTGCAAAACAGAGTTTCTCAAATTTACACACATGGATTAACTTTATGTTTATTATTTTCACTCCGTTATTGAAGTGGCCTTCTTCCAAAAGAAAAGTGAAAAAAGTCTTGCCAAGATGTTTCCACGTGCTTTTTCCAAAGACAACATGAATCATTGATTGTACAGAAATCTTTATTGAAAAGCCAAGATCACCATCAGCTCAAAGTTTGACATATATTTCATACAAACAAAGGAACACTTTCAAAGCTCTAATACGCATTACTTCATCTGTTTGTATTAATTTTGTGGGTTTTTAGATAATATTAAACCTGGAGATGAGGTTATGGCAGACAGGTTTTTTGATAAGGGATTATTATTGGAAATTCATGCAAATTGGAATATTCCATTTTTCACTCTAAAATGTTCATGGGGTAAACGAGAACGTCTCAATGCTTATGAAATAAAGAAAACACGAAATATAGCCAAACTTAGAATCCATGTGGAAACAGCTATTGAGCGACTACATTTTTTTCATAGTTTATCAAACACAATGCCCTTAAGTTGCAAGCCAGTAGCAAACCAGATGCTGAAGGTCTGTGCATTTCGGTGTAATCTTCAGAGACCATTAGTGAGAAAGTGATTACTGTCATCATGCAGTCAGTCATACCTATCCAGGAATCAATCATTAATCAATATTTCAATTTGCTTCAATATTTGATGTTAAATAATTATATTGTACATCATTTTCCTTTTACACAACATATGTTTGACCTGCAAGTTAAAGGTACATGCATTTCCTGTATTTTTTTTTAAAGATGTACAATATCATACATGTGTTAACATAAACATTTTTTCCCCCCCACAGCCAACATTCTAAACAGACTTTTTTAAGCTTAGCTCGTGTATATATTGTACAAAATAAGAAGCTGTGAAACTTCTTATGATCTATAAGATACCTGGTAATCATTTCAATACAACAAATACAATGATACCAGTACCATGAATTCATTATGGTATGATATGTTATAATAATTCATAAATCAACTAGCTTATGAATTTCATTTGAACAATGAAAATTTTGAATATGTCTTTGTCATTATTTTTGTTTCATTTAGCTGTTCTGCATTACCTTTACATAATTATACAAGTATGTATTACTGCATGTACTTCTCTGGCAATAAGCAAATGATTAGTATAAATAAGCCCATCCACTTTTAGTACAGCTTCATAAGAAATATCAACAAAATTATTTTAATTACCTTGTAATAAGTCCACCTACCTGTTTGAGTCAAAGGTTAAGATTAGTGGACTAGTAGAAAACTAGAACTCAATACATGAATTTAAGATCAATAATGAGTTCAATTGTTCAACACAAAACTTACCATAAAAGTTCAGTAATTTTTATATCAATTTTCTAAAGCAAGCTTTGTTCAGTTTTAACTGACAATAAATACAGAATTGCACGAGATTTTCTAGACATACAATGTACAACGATACATGCCATAAACATTTCTCTATACATATGTCCTGAAATATGCATCTATATTCATTTTTACTTGTGATACAAGTTACTCTCTTGAACTTTTTTGGAATTTTTTGAAGAAATTGCAAACTCAGTATTCAATTTTTGGGGCATCAATCAAATATCAATTTATGCACCTCTGATTGTGGATCCCAGTCATAGCAATCACTGCATCACCAGAAATAATCATTGCAACAATGCCTTAGTAGCATATTTGTCCCAAAATCTTTTAGATTTTTCAATAATATGTTCATAAACCTCTGGGTCAAAATATTTTTTTTCCACAGCAAAAGCCTTCTTTGTGTCGAATACAAAGTCACACCATTTAAGCTTACACCCCCCCCCCCCTCTGTCCCTGAATCTGGATGTACCAAGGACGACTGGTTCGCCCGTTGTCAGTATAATGTGACCGGGTTGGGCGTCCTGCTGGGTGTCTTCGGCAGTATGTTTCAGTGAGGTAGCACTATAAAGTCGGCATCAGTTCCGCGCTATCACAAGGAGATAACACGAACATATCGCAGCCTCCCAAAATACACACCATACACTACACGCATGCATCTTGCACACAGGGGAGGCCGTCCTTAAATGACCATAGCTGTTAATAGGACGTTAAACAAAATCAAACAAACAAACAAACAAAGAAGTCGTTCAAAGCAATACAGCCAAATTGCCCCCTTTTTGCCCCGCCCCTAAGCCCCCTGGGGGGTCAGCCCCATCATTTGTACAATTTTGAATCCCCACCACCTAGGGATGCTTCCAATCAAATATGGTTTATATCCACTTGTTAGTTCCAGAGAAGAAGTCGTTTAAAGCAATACAGCCAAATTGACCCCTTTTGGCCCCGCCCCTCAGCCCCCTTGGGGGTCAGCCCCACCATTTGTACAATTTTTTGAATCCCCATCACCTAGGTGTGCTTCCAGTCAAATTTAGTTGAATTCCAATCAGTGGTTAAGAAGAAGAAGTCGTTTAAAGAAATTCTTGACGAACGGACGAACGGTCGACGGACGCAACGGTATGGCATAAGCTCACCTTGGTCCTTCGGACCAGGTGAGCTAATAAACAAGTGCAACAACTGATATCAGTAGTTTGTGATTTATTGACTTGTGAGTCACTTTCTCTGTGTCTCACTGCCTAGAATTAACATGACCAGTTTTTGTAACAACTATTAGTTGTCAACTAACGTATGAACCAAAAGAAAAACAATAGTTCATTGATCAGTTCAATGGAGTCGCAGATTTTGTTCAGGAAGATCAGATGATAAACTTAATCCGAGGATAGTCATGACCTCTGGGCAGAAACCAAATCTCCTGCAGTGGAGAATATTCTTTCACTCGTTCAGTCGCCGGAATACACATGTATTTCCTGGCCAAGGTAGCCAGCAAAGGATATTTTGACTCATTCATCCTCCACCAGTCCAAGAGGATCTCGTTGGAACATCGAGCAGTAGTTTGTTCTTTGGTAATTCAAGAATCGTTTACCTAGTTTTCAATATAGCCGTAGCTGTTGTGCTACGATGAAAGAAACTTACTAAAAGCTAATTGACTTGAAGGCCTCGCTGAGTGGCAAGTTTGATTGTAAGGGCCATGCATCTGATGTTTGGTGATAACCCTGCTTCTTTCACACCTTTGACAATATTACTAGCGTTGTCTGTAGTTACACTTGGAGCTTCATTGTATCTCTGCTAGTCCCATTCAACAACACTTCTTTAACACTTCAGCAAAATGCTCTGACGTGAGTGATTCTGTCATCAGTCTGGTATGTAAGGACACATTTTGCATCGCGACGAATCGTGACACCTCTATATTGGTGGTGTTAAATCTCTGAAGGTATAAGAACATTTGACCCAACAACCCTTTCTCACAACACTAACAGCAAACCAGACCACCAGGTGAGGCACCCATAAATGGATGATCAGCATCAGCAAAGAAACCACTTCTTTGTATAGGTTGACTTCTTATGATTAGATGATTCTATGTAGAGTAGTGATCGAGCAATAGGTTTCATGGGCTTTGCCAAACTTCAGATTTTCTGGGGCACCTGACCCGAGGACATAACTGGACATTGTGAACATGTAACATTCTCATTGAATCGAAAGTGTAACACTGAAGAAAATATGGAAATATGTCACACGACCTGTCCTGTAAGCAAACCAGTCAAGATTATCAGCTTGACCCCTTGTCATTTCTTCAGTCCTCTGCACTGTTTTCACATCAGAATGTGTTGAAATCACTTTTGACACTAACAATCTTGTAGCATCAATATTACCTTTCACAGTATCTACAATTTGTCAAAGTTTCTCGACCTGCCTCTTGGACAAACACTCAAATACCCTGCTTAACTCTAATGTAAAATCAGTTCTGACAGTAAAAATTCTAATACTAAGGGTATCTCGTAGTTTTTTCATGACCTAAGTAACTTCAATATATCGAGGTTCGACTGTATTTGCATTAAATGTAAACAATATTATTGGGGGTTGTAAGAAACAAATACACTCATTCTGGTTACTTATATACATTTTATTTATATATTTTTTAATTCGATTGGCTCATAGTCATATCACATTCGACTTTAAATTTTGGAAACTTACGCAACACAGATGCAACTCCCAGATTGCACATGTCCATCCTTCTGTAGGAAAAACCACGTAAAATACGGAGTGGCGTTTTGTCTGGTCTCAGGGATACACGACGCCTTAACGTATAAATGCGAGTCACTATTTGAAATGATGCCGAGGCATAGTCTTTGATATAATGGTCCATGTAGAGTTTGTAACCATTATCGTTCTTGTAATTTTTCAACCTCGATTCAGACCAACCGCATACGTTTATGAAATATATGATGATATTACAGTACTCCACATTAGGGGCAGAAGTCAGATCAGCCATCCAGGACTTGACCATACTGACGTCATCCAATACAGTTGAATCAACAGTACGTCTCAGGACGTCCATGTCGTCGTAGTCATCACATGTCCCTAAATCGTTTTTACGGTACAAAGTGCATGTTTTACCCCTCTCTTGCAAATAATGTTTCAAAAATTGCACCTGAAATCCTTCAAAATCCATCTCGGTAAAAATATTTGTATCGCAAGTTGAAAAAGTTGTGAATGTTGAGGAATGTCGGCGTAAACCGGAAGTTTACATGCCTCAATTTTCGTTTCCATTGGTACTCTTTTCTACCTCCACACATGAGTTTCTTATAACCCGAATTAGAGCTATTGCAATATTTGGGATCTTTGTTTTTTTCCTACTTCTAACAACCTTTTATTAGGTCACCTGAGCTTTGCTCAAGTGACCTATCCTAATCGCTTTTCGTCCGTCGTCGTCCGTCGTCCGTCGTGCGTAAAATTTTACATTTTCAACTTCTTCTCAAGAACCAGTGGATGGATTTTTTTCAAACTTGGTCAGAATCATCCTTGGTAGATGAGGCTTCAAAATTGTAAAATTGGGATTCCTACCCCAACCCCTGGGGCCAGGGCGGGGCCCCAAAGGGAAAATTATTCAATATTTCAAAAATCTTCTTCTCCAGACTCAGAGGTACTACAGTGATTTTCTTTACGTGGAAAGAAAGATCATCAGGGGCTTTATTTAAATTGAAAATATCAGGACCCCGAGCTATCCGTTCTCCCTTGGGGAGGGGGTAACGTTTAATATAGTTTATATAGGGAAATAACACTTTTCGGTATATATTTTATCCATTTTCAGCAGAAAATTGCTCAAACTTAGTCAGAATCATCTTGGGTAAATGAGAGTTTTACTTTGTAAAATTAGGATTCCTGCCCCATCCCCAGGGGCTAGGGCGGGGCCCCAAAGGGAACATTTACCAATATTTTCAAATTCTTATCCATTGATGACATGACAAGTATTGTATTTCACTTAGTTTACATGCTGATTTCCACATCACATCTAAACAATAAAATAAAGTTACCAGTACCTATGATATAACTCAGGTGACCGCTAAGGCCCTTGGGCCTCTTGTTTTCCTAGTGCCTTGCTTGGCAACACCTCACTTTTTTTAAAAACATAATTGTCATTTACTCATTAGTCATAGTTATAGCTATCTCAGCTAATACTTTGAGACTAGTGTCCTCACAGTATTAGAGGAACTGATTACTCGGATCACTACCTATTAATCGTTACTAATTAAGTCACTGCTCATTGTCATCTAGTTTCTATGTACATTTCTAGATAAATTACCAAATCCTTTGAAATTATGATTCTCATAGTAATTATGATATTAAATACCGTTGTTCACTGTTAATAATTTTTATAAGCTTAAATTCACAACACAATTTGTTATTGAATATTTCTGTTTCTTTATTGTTAAAGGGGCCGGTCGGGGAAAAAATACAAAATAAATGGGTCTAAATGCGTTCTCTGGCCTTCCAAAAGTTATACCACGGCAATATGATGGTCGAGTTCTGCTTGCAATGTCAAATTTTGACCACTGAAATCTCGGGGAAGCTTCGCGTAAATTTAGCGCAGATCTATTTATATATGTCACGTGGTTGTTTCAAAAGTGAGGCAGTGAAGATAACAACCATAGCACGCCGTCATGTGCCATGTCGGACTCAACTAGTGGACAAGACAGCAATACTATACGTAAATAATTGTTTTCAAAGGTCATGTATGATGCAAGTGTAGTATTCCTACCTATATGTTGTTGTTATATATAACGGTATTGATACCTCGTGCCTTTCATGACTTTTGCATGCATCTTTTTCCTTTCGCCGCGATGTTTACATTTGGCCTTGTTGATGACGCGCATGCGGTAAAATTACATCACTGATCTGGGTCAATTGAGAGTTTTATACTGTCAGGTGACGATTTAGGATTTCTTTAATATAATTGTAATTTTTACCTTTAGGGAGTGAATTTCAGCAAAATTTGAATCGGTATATTTCATAGGAAGGTATTTTAAACATGTGTATGCCATTTTAGCAAATATGACATTTTTCCCCCCCGACCAGCCCCTTTAAACAAAGTTGTTGTTACACGTTCATAAAGTGAAGACTTGAACAGATCTGAGACAGAGTGAAACCACGTGTAACGTATTACTTCCTTGAAAATGATCATCCACGGATGTTACGCGGATTGGACTTTTTACCTCTGAGCCGAAAACCTGACGTCTGAGAGACTTTTGAAAAGTGTCTAAAAAGTTGTATCAAAGTCATACAAAGTTTTTCCGACATCTTGCGAGTATCCTGTGAGCCACAGGCTACGCGACTGCAAATTTCGAACTTTTTTTCTATGGTCGAAGGTAGCTCCAAATTTTGCATAAATGGGCTTTTAAAAGGAGGTTAAATGTACTTTATTTAACCCCACACGATGTTTAGAATTTAGCATGAAATCCCTAGAAAAATGCCGAGGTTCGTATTGATCCTACTTCATTTCTATTCATTTTTGTTATTTCTTTTCATTCATCCCTATTCCAAATCTGATTGCTGAAAAAGTTGCTCAGGAATCAGAAGATCATATCCTAAAAAGAAAAGCTCTCTTTCTTTTCTGAAATTTTCTCAAGATGATTTTTACCTATGGTGACTCTGATCCACTCATTTCGGTACCGATCCTATACCTTTTTGGTAATTTCCGAAAAACGAGACATAGTTCGAGGCAGATTTTGTTCCGACATATTTGAGAAGCTTTTTAGATTAATATATAAAAGAGAAATTAGAAATTCCACCTAGTAATATGATCAGGACTGTTTTTGGGCCTTTTTGGTAACGGTTCCATGGAGCGGTTACTTCTTGATCAAGAAATCGTGGAACATGTTACGGAACGGTTACTTTACGTGGAGCAGGTTACATACGGAAAAGTGGAGTATGTTACCATAGGTGAATAAAGTCTTTTCCATTTTTGTTACATTGAATGTCAAAGTGGAGTATGTTACTGAATGTAATTAAAGTCCATTCCAAAAAGTGGATTCGTAACGCAAAATAGTCTGCTCCAATATGTTACCAAAGGCTTGGTTTTGTGGTCTGGAACCGTTACTTCATAAAGGAACCGTTACCATAGGCGAATAAAGTCCTTTCCATTTTTGTTACGTTTTTCATTAAAAGTCCTATGCACTATATTATTACTTGTGATATGGAACATGTTACCATAAGGTGAGAAATAAGTTATATATATTTTTTTTTATTTCTTCCAGTATTTATAATAAAATAAGTTATTATAATTATAATATAATTATTTACTTCTTTTATTGACAGCAAGTCAGTATTTAAAAAATATATATATATTGAATTATATAATATATATATTATATAATAATATGATATCTAATTTAATCATATAATTATAATAATTAATACCGGATGTTCACAATTGTTACCTTAAAAATAGTCTGTCAAGTAAATTAGTTTGTCTGAAGATTATTTGTTTCTTTTCTTTACTTATTTTTATCATATAATTATAATAAATACCGGATGAAATATAAAAATAAAAAAAATGTTTGTCCAACTTCGATTAATTTACATGGTTCAGGAAAAAAAAAGTCCGCTCCACAATTTGTTACCTTAACTAGTCTTCAGATTATTTGACGACGGACGACGAACCATTTGTTTCTTTTTCTTAAAATTAGAGAAAACAACAAGAATTTTAAGGATTTTCAAGGACATTTTATTCGTGCATGAAAATACCTTGACGCTCCGGGGAGGAATCTGAAGAAGGTGGCTGAAAAACAATCCGAAGAAAATATTTAGAAATGCATTTTAAAACATTGAAATCTCAATTCGAACAAAGAGTTGGATATTTTTTTTACTCACAATCATATCCGAATCGCTGTCGTCGTCATCCTCCTTCTTCTCTTCCTCTACCACCTGTGCTTTCTTCTGAAACCAAACACATTAGACATTATTTTGAAACGATACATATATATACATATATGCACATATACTTTCAGATAAAATGTTTGGTAATTAAAAAAAATATTACCATATAGCGCTCCTTCACTGTTTGTAGGACTTTCGCTCTGTTCTGACGGTCGGAACACCTGTCATAATAGCGGTCGGCTGTCGACGGCAAATGAGCCATATGTTTGGCCAGGGACCTCTGGGCCTCCCGGTCCCCGCCAGAGTTTCTCAGGGCTGTCACCGCCATCTTCCTGCACATGGTCGCAGTGAGACGTGGCAGAGGCCTGCCAAGTGCTTTAGCATGCCTCAGCCACTCTCTTTCCACAAGCTTTGACATTGTCTGTAAAAAGAAATAACTTGATTATAAAATAATTCTCCCAATGCAAAAACTGTCTTTAGAAATTTGTTCACGAAACAACTGTTATACTTACTGAACATGAAATTTGTGTTCCCTTCTCTGTTGTCAAGATGTATTCCGAGCCTTTGCTGATCGACTCGAGGCGGCGATAGCTCTTTAGTTAGCCAAGCAGCCTCGAGTCCAGCAGCAAAGGACACGGCTTCCCGGACCGGGCTTCCTTATGTCTGTATATCTGTGGAGAAACAAGGATTTGATGATAATTATACTAGTATTATTGTTTATTCATATATTATTTATATCTTTTTTATTATATTTTTTTAACAATAATGAAAAAAACTTACCTAAAGCTCTGTAGTATCTTCGTCCTGTGGAATGGCGGCCTTGTCAACCTCACTTTTGAGAAGGTTGGCAAGGTCGCCAGCCCGCTTTCCATTTGTTATGAGTATGTTTACAATAGGTGCCTCCCGCACCTCAACTGACTGACGGCTGGTCAGCATCTCCGACGGCAGGACACGTTGGGCATACTGGAGGCAGGACCCCTGAAGGTACTCCCCCAGCATGCCCTCCGTCACCTCTTCTGTCGTTTCCTGCATCCTAAAACGAAACGAAATTATCACTAACCAATGATTACTCAAATTAACTCTATTATTCGCCATGATTATAAGTAATTATTACTCCACTTAGAAACGAAAATTATCACTAAACAACGATGACTGAAATGACTGGATGACTCGCCATTCTTATAAGCAATTATTATTCCACTTACCTCTTTACGGCGTTCTCCCGGATGTCCCTCTCCAGGCTTCGGGAGATCTGCTTGACTGTTTCTGCCTTTGATTTCATAGCGTCTGATGTCATCCGAAGCTTGGAGAGCCAGGAGCTTGACGCTCCGAGAAACGTTAAGAAAGCAGCAAGGTATGTCAAGTAGACCTTGACACTCTCCGGCTGAAGGCTGCAATGAAAAACAAAGTATGATTAGCATAAAGATCTGCTTCCGAAATGGGGAAGCAATACGCAATGCGCCTTCAATTAAACATGGTTTTACTTACGTCTTCAATAGGTCGTCAACTTTTCCTCCGGGATCCCCCACCTCGACCAGCCTCTCGACGGAGTTCTTGTCGAGGTCGGCCAGGAAGACGCGAACGGCCGATCTATGGGCCGCTGCGGTCTCCGCTTTCAGCGGCTTTCCTGACCGACGACTCATGATGGAGTTCCTGCAATAAAAAAACAACAACATGAGAGTAATTAGTTCATCAATAAGCAAGAAGAAAAGAATTACATTATGTTATTATATTTTATTTTTAAAAACTTACTGATACTCGCCGAGGGCCTTTTCCAGCAAGCTGGGAGATCCCGGGTCGGCGGCAACGCACGTTCTCCCCCTTCTCAATGCCCTGGTGAAGTCGGCTGTGCCTCTGTGGAGATTGTGCTTCCTGGACAGATGTTGGTCCAGGCGCACAGTCTCCACAGGGCAGAGCGGACATCCCCGTCGGGGTCTAGAAGACGGCTGTCTTCTCAGACCCGCTACTGAGATCTCCGTCGATGCAACCTCGTCTGTCATTCTGTGGACAGTGGTCAAGTGACGCTTTATGTTTATGACCATCTGTCCACAGAACGACAGAGGGCACCTCCTCTTCGGTCTGGTGTTCTGCAAATAATAATTTTGATTGCAAAAGGGCCTGAATTAACCTTCTTTTATAGCTAAAATACCCATGCATGCAACATATGGAGATCCTACTTCCCATAGAAAAAAAGTTAGAAAATTAGTTGAACGGATGCCACAGCTCAAAGGGTTGTTTCTCGAGGTTCGTAATACTTTGTACAAACTTGGGGGACCCCATTACAAGTTTTCAGAACTTTGTCCGAAGTGTCTCGAACTTGTAGTTTTGGCGCAATTTCAAAAAAGTCCTTCCAGGTAACATTCTTGGAAAATCAATTTAAGGAAGAAAAAAAATTGTGCTACTTATCTCTATTTTAGTCCTGTCCTAAAACTTTAAAAAAAAGTCCGATCCACTGTTTTTTTCCTGATCATTTTTTATAAAAATCTATATCGTTAGAGATACATTTCTAGCAATGAGATATGTCGTTTCAAACCACTAGATATTTGTTCTCACAAAACCAGTTCTCTACAAATGATTTTGTTTGAGTTGTTGGGGATTCATTTTCAGCCAAGGTAACATGGGTTTCAATGAAAAAAGTCGCGTTTAAATGTCCGATCCATAATTGTTACTTATAAAATGTAGCATTATTGGAGTAGAATTTTTTCCAAACATACAATAATAATACTAAGAAAAATAAAAACGAAATTCTATAATTCATAAAACTGCATATTAATTGGTCCATTGGATTATTCGGTAGGTACTTGTCTTCTTTTCATTCCATCGGTGTCACCTTAAGTTACGTGTGCAAAAATGAGGCGTGGTCAGATAAGAGGCGTGTGCAGCTATTGACGTGTGCAAAGTGAAGAAGTGTTAAAAGTTGCAGCAGCCATTCCAGTCATACTACAGTTAGCTCTATCCCTATCTTCTTTGTCACAACAATTAAAACGATCACTAATTTTCTTTTTCTTTTATTTCAGGGTCCGGAAAGTATTGTTCAGAAGAGTATTCAACCCCAAATACCAAAACATATTTACGCAAAACCAAAAACTTCTGCCAACATTTGGTATCCGAATTTTGAATTTCCTGCAAGAACTCAACATAAAATTGACGGACATAGCTGAATTTAACATATCTGATGTTCCTCCGTCGACCATTCAAACCCCTGATTTTAACTTTATAGAGCAAGGGAAATCAAGTGTTATGCCCGAAGAACACAAATCCTCCTTTCGGGAATGCATTTCGAATTACCCTTCTCATACACAACTTTACACCGATGGCTCCAAAGAAGGTGAGAAAGTGGCAGCAGCCTGCTGTACTGCCAATACTTGCACTTCAGTCCGACTACCAGACGGCGCCTCCATCTTTTGAATGAAATGAATGGCAGAAACGCTGGTCTCTGGAGACCAACAACAAACTTTTTAAGATACAACCGAAACTTAAAACATCTATTCCCAGTCGGAAAGATCGTAGAGAGGAAGTTGTCCTCGCTCGGCTCCGCACTGGGCACACATATCCTACTCATTCGTACCTTTTAAAACGAGAAGATATACCTTCATGCCACGCATGTGACACTCCATTTACAGTGGAGCATTTTTTAATAGAATGTTCCGATTTTAAACACATTCGTGATAACTACTTCCGAGTCCCGGATATGAAAACACTTTTCAGTTCCGTGGATTCGAAGGCATTATTTAACTATTTGAAAGACATCGGTCTATTTTATAGACTCTGATGTCTTTTAACCCACCTTNGTTCAGAAGAGAAAGGTAAGTTATTTTTAGCTCTCTGGCTTATGTCATGGCGCGGCGTCCGTCAACTTATGCTTCAAATCGGTACTAGTCATAAAGTACTGAATTAATTTTATCCAAATTTGGTCAGAAACATCCTTGGGGAAAGGGTAACATATTTTGCATAAAGTGTGCCCCTAGGAGTCAGAGGGGCGGTGCTCAATAGGGGAAATATAGATAAATCCTTTAAATCGCTACTCGCATTAGGTGCTGAATGGATTTTAACCAAATTTGGTCAGAAACATCCTTGGGTTGGAAGGGGAACAGATTTTGTATAAATTGTGCCTAGAGGGGCGGGGACCAATTGGGGAATAGAGGTAAGTCCTTTAAATCGCTACTAGTCATAAAGTACGGAATGGATTATAACCAAAGGTTGGGTCAACATTTTCCCCCCACTTCGATTTCTTTTCCATATGTAGATACATAAAAATGATCAATGACTGCATAAATAATTATTCATAAAAATGATCAATGACTGCATAAATAATTATTCATAACCACTACTGATAACCATAGTGGACCTCCTTGCATAACACCAGGTTGAGTGACAGCGATATCCTAACAAAGTGATTGAAAAAAATCACAGGCGAATGTTATTTTGAAAATGATTAATGAAAGTGTGCTGTGTATGAAATTCCTATCTACAGAATCATTTTAAACAAAAACTTGTTACGTTTTGAATGTAACCTTTTTGGATTTGACTTTGATAGCATAGTTATTAAAATAGCAAAGTAATTAAAAGTCTAAATACAAACTTGTTATGTATTGAATGTAACCATTTTGGATCGGACTCTAATAGCATAGAAATTAAAAGTCTGAAACAAAAACTTGTTACGTTTTGAATGTAACCTTTTTGAATTTGACTTTGATAGCATAGTGATAAGGATAGCGTAGAAATTAAAAGTCTGAACAAAAACTTGTTACGTTTTGAATATAACCTGTTTGAATTGGACTCGATAGCATAGTAATTAAAATTCTGAACAAAACTTGTGCATCAAAGTTTGTGTATCAGGGTAGTATTTTTTTCATTTCAACCCTTTTAAGGAGTTATGGCCCTTTTTGAACATCGTTGTCTTGACAACTCTTCCTTAACTACTACTCCATTTTTGGTCTGAAGCATCCTTGTGTGACTGGGAACCAATTTTATATAAACCGTGGGCCTGGTACCCCAAGGGCCCTCTTCTTGTGTAATAATGAAAGGATTTGTTCCATATTTGGTCTGACATATCCTTGTCTGAACGGGAACTAATTTTGTATAAACTGTGGGTCTGGCCCCCTGGGTGCTGAGGGGCGGGGCCCAATATGGAAAACAGCGAATTCTTTAAAATCCTTCTTCTGTAGGAATGAAAGGAGTTAGTCCAATTGTTTTAATATAACCCCTGACTTACCATGGTATACACTACCAGCAACTTCTGGCTATTACAACTTCAATTTTGCTTAATAATCAAATCAATCTATATGCAAATATATCATTAACATATAGTATTCTAGCAACTGCATTATGAAATTATTTTCAATCGATGAGAGTAAAGTAAAGGCGTGAAGCTGTTAAGAGAAGATTTGTTTGTTTGTTTGTTTGATTTTGTTTAACGTCCTATTAACAGCTAAGGTCATTTAAGGACGGCCTCCCCTGGGTGCAAGATGCATGCGTGTAGTGTATGTGTGTGTATATTGGGAGGCTGCGATATGTTCGTGTTTGTCTCCTTGTGATAGCGCGAAACTGATGCCGACTTTATAGTGCTACCTCACTGAAACATTCTGCTG